GCAGCTGTTGGCCAGCGGGGTCGGGCCGCAGGGCTGGCAGGGCAGGCATGGCAGGCACTGGTTGTAGCAGGACATGTCTTGTGGCTGGAGGTGCACCTGGGAGAGAGGACAGGAGGAAGCAGACCAGGAGAGATGAGTGAGGAGCAGCCTGTCACGCCACAACAAGGGTCTCAAGGCACGTGCTGGGGGGAGAGCCAGAGTTTCTGTAGGGAGACCCACAGACTTCTCCTTCCCCTCAGCCCAAAAGTGCCCTGCCAAGAGCGACCAAGCCTAGGAAGGTCCACACCTAGCCCATAGCTCAGGGGATACCTCAGCCAAGACCCAGCCTCGCTCCATGCTAGACTTTCTCCCTCCTTCCTAATTCTATGACAAGGGCTTCCAAGCCCTCCTGTGGCATGCTGGAGCAGGCCTCGGCTGAGGTATCCATTGGTGTGAGACCTCAGCCTAGGGAAGGATGAGAAGCAGAAAGGGCTGCAGACTCACCTGATTCCAAAGGAGAGCGAGGCAAGAGAAGTGAATGAGAGAAGGTGGCTTTGGGTTTACTTTTATACTGCTCCTGCACCGCTCCAGGCCCCGAGCCTGTCTCTGTGTGGGCAGTAATTTTCCAACAGACTCATCCTAAATGGAGAATACCCTTCCTAATCACACAGCTTGTAATTTGGTTTCCTTCATTTCCTCCCTTTCATTTCCTCATTTCTGAAATGCCCTTTGTGCCAGAGACACTTCTGTAAGTGCTGGAATGAGAGGTACTTGGACTTCCAGGCAGGAACACAATAGCACTGAGGGCAGAACTCAAGTGCTGAAGAGGTCCCATGCAGGCAGGGGACAGCACCTTGGGGCACCTTGGTGTGCTCATTTGCAACGCTTTTTTCAGAAAGGGTCCCAGGTACTCCAAGTGTCGCAGTCCTCAGCTGTATACCCACAGGTTCCCAGGCACAAGGACTTGCTCGGTTTTTCTCTCTCCCTCTGTCCCAGCTCACTCTGACAGTCGTTGGTAGTCACTCCTCATGCTGGTGGGCTGTAGTTCTGGTTTCAGTGCTCTTTCTCCTTATACTGCTTGTTTTGAGGAGAAATTTCCCCCCTTTCTTGGCCTCCTCTCTGGTGTCTATCTAGGTGCGCAACCCAGCCTGGGACACCTAGGTGGCTGTAGCACCCAGAAGTGACAGGATTCCCACTTCCATATCTCAGGCACTGGATAAAACATCTCGGGAATTGAATCACAGGAGTGAGAGTCTGCCTATTGGAGCCTCTCAGCAGCTCAAAGCCGATGCTTCTTACCTGTGTCAAGGTGAAGGGGGTGTGGGCAGAAATGTGCCCAGGAGCGATCAGGGGACATGGAGGGATGGGGCAAGAGGGGATTCAGCCACAGGTAGAGAATTTGTCTCTGCTGTTGCACACCCCACTCCCCACCAGTAAGTGCCACTGTGCAGTGATTACAGATATGGAAAGCCTGGCTGGAAGAGAGGAAGGAGGTTACTGAGAGGAACAGCCCAAGGTGAAACACAAAGAAGTTTCCTGCAGAAACAGTTCTTGATAGGGAGAGCGTTTCCCCCTCTCCTGCACTGCCCTTCTTTTCACTGACGACAGTCTCTGAGCGAAAGAGTTCTTCTCCTGACACTCCCCATAGGATAGCAGCAGTGTTTGGGAACTGTGGCCATGAATCAGACAATCCTTCCCTCCCAGGCAGTCCTGGCATAATAGGATTTCCGCGTGGGACATAAAAGCTCTGTGTGGCTAAAGACCAAATGAGTTGTCAGCTGTTTGGCTCTTCCTTTGCAGCCTAGACGGTCTGTTCTTCCTTTCAAAGCACCGTGACACTAGATCATCTGTCCTCATTTATGGTAGCGACTCAAGGTCTCAGCTCCTGGCTGTCTCAGTGTCAGGTCAATTAGCTGCAGAGGTGCCCATGGATTTGACTTGGACATGAGGGTCCTATATCCCATCCTGGACACTGTTAACACTGCAACAGAAGCAGATACACTCAGGAGTGTCCTTCATGAGGTGTGTAGGACTTCCCAGCCTTACTCCCTGGACATAAAGGTGTATATAAACCCCATTGTTTTGAACTCCTTAACACTGGGAGGAAGAGATGTATACTCACGTGGAGAGGCAGGGAGTGGTGACTGACAGTCATGCTAAGAGACTTTGAATGTTGATACACTGAATTAAACCGAGTTTCCAAACTGGTGTAAAACTGTCCTCACTAGGCTCTGAAATCTGCAGTAGCAGACTGTGAGCTTTGGAGGAGCATGAAAAGGAGAGCTCAGGAGACAGGGGTTGTGTTTCAATGCAGGCGCCTAGGGCACGTCTCTGTCAGGTCCATGCCATTACTGTTCAGCTGCCATTGGGCTGCTTTTGGC